TTTTTTTTTTTTTTTTTTTTTGAGAGAAAATCATGGCAAAATAATGAAACCTGATGAGGACTATTAGAATACTTTATTCCTGTAGCAAAATAAGAGAAATAAAATATCAGAGTTGGCAGCATTTGAGCTTTGGTTGAGATTATCAAAAGCCTAGGAACAAGATAATAGCATGGATGTGCAAGTGCCCGGGTGTTTGATAGCTCAGGGCAAAATAAACAGTTGAGCCCCATTTTCTGGTCCCTTACCTGGAGACTCTAGAGAGACGTTGGTGCACAGAGAAGAAAAGCTAAGGAGTTGAACACAGCATGTTCTTTTTAGCAGGCAATTCTTTCAAGTCTTTTGTAGATTTTTCCACATATTCCTTTATGCCAACAGTTAAGCAGGGATATCTCCCTCGTAGGTCAGTAGCCAAGCTGGTTTGGCCAAGGGTGTAAAATCCCATTCTGGGCTACTCAGTTTCCTTTTCTCTGCTTGGGCCTGCTGTGCCTCTGGCAAGGTCTGTGTGTGACTGCCGTACTTGAGAGCACCGTCAGGGGAAGCTGCATCCCAGGATGCTGAGGCCTGAGAAGACGTACACTGCTCATTGCGGAACGTGAGCCCTGCCCTTCTGCTACCTCCTTAGGGCAGTTCAGTCGGGCTGCGTTGCAGATCTGCCCGCTGTGCTGAGGAGCAGTATTTTTATTATTGTCCAAATAAACTGATGAAGAACTGTGAGCCAAATAGAAATACAGAGCTTCATATTCCAAAATATTTTATCAGTATCAAAAGTTGAGCAGGGGGCTGGAGAGATGGCTCAGTGGTCTAAAGCACCTACTTAGAACAAGCTTGGCAAAGCATCAGGGACCGCGGTTCAATCCCCCAGCACCACATGCCAGCCAGCCCCGCCCCCTGGTGGGCTGAGCTGGCCACACACACATACCCCTCTCTCTCTCTCTCTCTCTCTCTCTCTCTCTCTCTCTCTCTCTCAAATAAATAAAAAAAATTTTAAAAAAAAGTTGAGCAGTATAACCAGGAGATTTAATGGAGTGCTCTTAAACTTTAGGAGGTACACATGTATTAAAGTGTGCTCAGTAAAATATTATAGAAATTTAGCTAAGAGGAATGGAGATATTGATACAGTATTTATTAATACATTTCTAAACTAAGAAATGAGAACAGGCTGGTGTGGCGGTGCACCCGTTACCCCAGGACTGAGGCAGAAGGATTGCTGTGAGTTTGAGGTCTGCCTGGGCTACAAAGTGAACTCAAGGCCAGCCAGAACTGCATAGACAAATCGTTTCTCAAAAAAACCAAAAAAGACCAAAAAAAGGACAAAGCCGAATAGATAACATTATTGTTACTGTTTAGGATCAAACTTTGTATATGTAGGAAGTTAGACTTTTATGTAAGCTGTTTTTTTTTTTTCCTCTAAACATATCATTAAGATTTCCATAATCTTTTGTTCGTGAATTCACCTGGTGACATTGTCACAGTATGCGTTGGGGGATGTATTTTCATCAGCCAGATAATCATAGTAGTAATTACCACTTCAAGAGCATTTTCGAATTTGTCCGACATTAGTGTTGTTTTACAATGTTTGCTTTTTATATTAGCTACCATATTCTCATCAGATTCTTTACATCTGTGCCTGCTGCATACCTGTTACATAATTAGAATAGTGTGGCAGTTGCACACTTGGATTCTAGATTCCACTTGACTGGTACATTTATGCAGGGTTTGAATGGCTGCATTCAACTGATATCTCCATTGTGATACATTATCCTTTTTTATGCATGTGTAATTACCCAAAGTGTTGAAACATTGACAAGCAGTCTCAAAAGATCCCCCACAGACTGAAGTTGGTGATGTTGGCAAAACTTGGCTACTTAGGGCTGGGATCTCCTGCTAGGGCCTGCCTCTCTTAGCTAGGGCATTCTTGCAGCTAGAGGTTTATAATTTTAGAAAGCAGCTCAGAATGCTTTGCTTATAAAGGGCTAGAGAGAAGATATTTCAGGCTTCATTTCATGTGGTCCATATGGACCCTGTAGGAGTTCTTCATCTTTGCTGTCATCACACAAAAGTGGTCCATAGATAATAGGCAAACAATAGGCATAAATAAAACTTTATTTATAAAAATAGGTGGCAGACAGATATTGCCTATAGTTAGCAGGGGGCCAAGGAGATAGCTCAGTAGAATAAGCGCTTTCCTGACAAGTGCAAGGGCCCGAGTTCAATCCCTGGTTCCGTAAAAAAAAAAAAAAAAAAAAAAGAATGTATCTATAGTTAGCTGACAAGTTTGGGTTTTAAACCACTCTATTGAAAAGGTTAGCGGAAAGTCAGTAGCTCTTTCACAAGCTAACACTAGGCAGGATGCAGTCTCCTAGCAATGACATGCATGGTATGGCTATGGAGCTTCTGCCCTAGTTTGTTGTACCTGACTGTATGACT